GAGAGAAACAGTGAGCATGCAGAATCAAAATGGAAATAAGACACTACAGTGGTACCTCGGGTTAAGTACTTAATTCGTTCCGGAGGTCCGTACTTAACCTGAAACTGTTCTTAACCTGAAGCACCACTTTAGCTATCGGCGCCTCCTGCTGCTGCTGCACCGCCAGAGCACAATTTCTGTTCTTATCCTGAGGCAAAGTTCTTAACCTGAAGCACTATTTCTGGATTAGTGGAGTCTGTAACCTGAAGCGTATGTAACCCGAGCTACCACTGTATACCAGAATGTTGGTCTAACTATTCCTACACTAGGCAAAACTGACATAGCGAAATGTGCTCTTAAAGGTCACCTCTAGCATCAGCTGTAGAGTAAGGGATAGGGATAAATTTGATTCAGTTTGCATTTAAAGGGAAATCTACCTAATTTTCACTTTTTGAAACATTATGCGGATCGAAACACGGCAATTCTACTAAAATAGATCTTGTCTGAATTTTGCAGTGCATGTGACTAGTCATAGAATCATAGCTTTGGAATGGAACCAAGGATCAGTCCAACCAGCTGCAATGCAGGAAAATTCATCTGCCCTGTACAGGGATCCAGGAGCAAGTGTGATGCTCAAGCATTGTGCTTCACAAAAACTTTCCTCCAGAAAACAAAGCCCTTTACAATGAGTACCTTCCTGTGCAGTAGAGGCAGTAATTGTGGAACAGAATTAGTAGAGCCATGACTGCAACTCTTTGCCCAGATGGGAGTGGGGGAGAAATCTGTTTCATTCACATTGTAATGCAAACTTGAGGTCCCATAAATCACGCTTCCCAAACCATACACAGACTATAATGCAGCGCTCTCTTTGAAATTTGCACATCTCCAAATTTTGCAGTGTTGTTCTCCAACCGAAGAACACATACAAAAGTGTTGCTGGAAATAATGAACCAAAAATGCATTCTGTTGATGGGGAAATGCTTGCAAAAATGTTTATACTAAGCAAAAGCTGTGCCTGAGAAAATTCATATATTATTAGAAAATGTGTACAAAACTTCATGTGGACTTTTGCTTGCCAGTGTGGGGGAAATGACAATGGAAAGAACTTATGATTGGGAAAATGAAAAATCGAGAGAAACTAATATATGCAGATTCATCCATTCCTAGCCTTACAAGTAAGCCTTATTGAACTCAATGGGACTTACTTCTGAAGAAGCATTTATAGGTTTGCACAGATCACCTTGCCCCCATATCTGCTGTAGTCAACTGGAATTTTATTCTGTTGAATCCGTTATGCCTCAGATCAGCCTCTGCATAAATGACACATGGTATTCATAATATTAAATGGTCCTTATTTCAATGTCACTGAGTGAGATGCTGTAGAAGCACACAGTGGCAAACATGCCACCGTCATATCAGCACTCAGAGCTGACACTGCTGCAGCACTAAAGGAAAAAATATTGGCAGTTAGCTCCCATAAATCAGAAATGCTCCCTAGTCAAAACGCTAAAAATGTCGAAGAGGCAGGCGGTGTAAAGCTTCTCGTGAAAACGCCAAATGGCTGAAGACATCACAGCTAAGAGTCAGAGTAATCTATGACTTTTCCCAAACTTGGGTCTCCAGCTGTTTTTGGCCTACAACTCCCATCGTCCCAAGCGAGCAGGACCAGTGGTCAGGGATGATGGGAACTATAGGCCCAAAATAGCTGGAGACCCAAGTTTGGGAAGCCCTGCTCTAGAGCAAAAGTGGAGAACCTTCTTTGCAGCTCACTGCAGTGTGACTCCAGTGGCTGGCTCCTTCACCACCTCCTCCTGCTGCGGAGAGGAAGGAGGGTTGAGGATGTGGAGGAAGAGCTACCTGTCATTGAAGCTGCATGGCCACTATGGTCGGCTCTGCCCCTGGCTCCTCCCAACATCTTGGCTTGTGAGAGCCATGAGGTTGAGCTGGAGCAACCATCTCAAACCTCTTCATACGCCAAGCTTTTCATACGCTGAGACAAAGGCTTCATTACCTAGTTCCTCCCAAGGTGAGGAGAAGTGGACATAGCTAAGCCTGGCAGGACATCTTACTCCATGGTATTAACTAGACTTAAGGATGTCGTTGATATGAGGCTGATTATCCCACAGAAGGGAATGTGACCTTTGGGCTTAAAACATATCCCTACCTTAGAGCCTACTTCGCAGGGGAGTGGTGTGTGGGGGGAAGGGACGACGACAAGCTTCTCAGATATTGTTGTTGTTGTTTAGTCATTTAGTCATGTCTGACCATGGACCAGAGCACGCCATGCACTCCTGTCTTCCACTGCCTCCCGCAGTTTGGTCAAACTCATGTTTGTCGCTTCGAGAACACTGTCCAACCATCTCGTCCTCTGATGTCCCCTTCTCCTTGTGCCCTCCATCTTCCCCAACATCAGGGTCTTTTCCAGGGAGTCTTCTTTTCTCATGAGGTGGCCAAAATATTGGAGCCTCAGCTTCAGGATCTGTCCTTCCCATGAGCTTCTCAGATAGATAGATAGATAGATAGATAGATAGATAGATAGATAGATATAGATAGATGATAGATAGATATAGATAGATATATTTCAGTGGATGGTGAGTTTGACAAAGTAAGACCAAAAAGGGAGGGAAGGAGAGAGAGAGAGAGAGAGAGAGAGAGAGAAAGGAGGAGAGGCCCTGACATAAAGTGTTTTAGCTGTCACATTTCTTAGCTAAAAATTAGAAAACCTGCCAGAAACACAATCAAGGTAACAGATCAAGTTTTTGCTATTCAACTGAGCTTGGCCAGGCAATGCAAACCTCAGCCCAAGGCCTGCTAGTTTCCTGTCCATAAATATGTCTAAGACACTTGATCTGCAAATTACGCTGTAAAATGGAACCATTCTATGTGGTTTAATCACTCTTTCCCGATGCTTCATCAACAGCTTTTTCAGTTATAATAAGCCCTCCTAATTAAGGCTTCAGCATTAGCATGGTTCATAGGTGTATTGTTTGACTAGATCAGGGATAAGGGAATCTGTGGCCCTCCAGTTGTTGGGGGAATAACAACTGCTATAATTACGGATCACTAGCCATGCTGGCTGGGGCTGATGGAGGTGGTTGTCCAACTACATCTGCAGGACCACAGGTTCTCCTCCTCTGGACTAGATTATACAGCGAGTTCCTAAGGTGAGGAGCTAGAAAGAACATTTGACATGGGGGGTGTTGGTGTTTGCAATCCTGAATAGCTATGAAGCTCACTGGTTGGCCTTGGGCGAACCCACTCCACAGAGTCATAGTGAGGATGTTCACACTGTATACTAAATATGTCAGATATTGGTCCATCTTCCCCAGTCTTATCAACTCTGACTAGCAGTGTCTCTTCAGGATCTCAGGCAAGTGTCTTTCCATCATCTGCTACTGGATCCCTTTAACTAGAGATCCCTGAGATGGAACCTGGAACCTTTTACCTGCAAAGCCTCTACTCTATCACTGAGATCTGGTCCCTCCCCAATCACTTGAGCTCTTCAGTAGAAGAATAGGATAGAAATGCAATGGAAAATGGAAGCATTACCAAGCTTAACTTTTGGGACACCGTCAATAGATGAGTGCTGCATCTGAGGAGCTGACGTTGAAATGAATGGAAATGGCAGATGTTGGACATATCCACACTGGAAACGTATGTTGGCTTTACACCAGTCTTCTTCTTCTGAAGCATCTTGGAAATTCTAGTTTGGCGAGCATGCAAAAGATTCAGTCAGAGTTCTCTAGCCAACCTCATGGGACTATAGTTCCCAGAGGTCTCTGGAGAGAGGGGAAGACAGTTAATCCTGTACACCTGCAGCTCTGATTGTCCTTGTCTATGGCTCATGTAACCATTCTGTAGGAACTAGGAAGAGGATACCCTGGAGCTTGGTCTAAATTTCTGAGAAAACAGTTTTCCGATGCATTTTTAGAGAATAGCCAAAAGTAAAGAGAAAAGTATTTGCCTGTTGCCAGAATTAATGCTGATAAGATATTTTGGACTGCTCTAACCCCATAGTACCATGGGAAGGATTAGCAACAACAACAACATTTAGACCCTGCCCATCTGTCCGGGTTTCCCCAGCCACTCTGGGTGGCTTCCAACACATTTGAAAACATAACGAAACATTGAATATTAAAAACTTCAGTCAGGGCTTCGAGAGAAGGTGAAATATAAATTCAAAATTCAGTTTCATTCAGATTTTTCATGAATTTTTCATGATTTTGTTTTTCTGATTTACGTAGAGACTCACAAGGAGACCTGCACTTTGAACTCAGGGAAGTTACTTTGCATGAGGTCAACATGCCATTGAAATGCAAAACGAAGGTGTTGTGCTCCCAGATGGTGTCCTGAGAGCCATTAATCCCATTAATTGTATATAAAAGCCCCTTGCAGCAATCCTTCAAATGAGTAAACACAGAGATAAAAGTGTAATTGTACTAGCACAGCAAATTGGATTCAGGTTCTCATTGAACAATCCTGTTTCATTCCAGCAATTTTATTACCACTGTTACTGGAACAAATCACTTTATTCAACAGGGAAAGTGGGGGTTAGTTAAAGAATCTTTTTCTTGTGGGCAGTATCTCAAAGCTCTGTAACACTAACCCGGCAATTACGTTTGTCAGGAGTTTGCTTTAAGCAATTCAGCTAATGGCCTGTGACAGGTAAAAAAACTCAAAACGTTCATTCAGACCATGTCTTCTGAAATATAGATATAACTCCTGTTTGGATTCAAAAACCCCTTTTAGTGGAATGAATGTTTTTGGCAGTGGTCCTGCTATGGATTTGCAGAAAGGAGGTTTGCCTCAGATAGATGTCTGAGAAGTTGCCTTATACTGAGGCAGACCACCAGCGCATCTAACTCATAGCTGTCAACTTTTCCCTTTTCTTGCGACGAATCCTATTCGGAATAAGGGAATTTCCCTTAAAAATAGGGAAACGTTGACAGCTATGATCTAACTCAGCGCTGACTGGCCGTGTCTGTCCAGGATTACAGACAGGAGTCTCTCATAGTCCTACCTGGAGATGCCAGGGATCAAACTTAGGACCTTCTGTACGCAAAGCAGATGCTCTACCCCTGAGCTATGGCTCTTTCCCTAATAAGATAGCTCTATGTATGTAAGGGATGCGGCTGGCGCTGTGGGTTAAACCACAGAGCCTAGGACTTGCTGATCAGAAGGTCAGCGGTTCGAATCCCCGTGACGGGGTGAGCTCCTGTTGCTCGGTCCCTGCTCCTGCCAACCTAGCAGTTCGAAAGCACGTCAAAGTGCAAGTAGATAAATAGGTACTGCTCCGGCGGGAAGGTAAACGGCGTTTCTGTGCGCTGCTCTGGTTCGCCAGAAGCGGCTTAGTCATGCTGGCCACATTACCCGGAAGCTGTACGCCGGCTCTCTAGGCCAATAAAGCGAGATGAGCACCGCAACCCCAGAGTCGGCCACGACTGGACCTAGTGGTCAGGGGTCCCTTTACCTTTATGTATGTGTTGAGGTTCCTGCATTGCAGGAGGATGGACTAGATGGCCTTGGGGGGTCCCTGCGAACTTTACAATTCCAGGATTCTATGCACTAGGGCTGTGCACTGGGTTACTTTCACTGCTACATGTATTTTTATGCACATCTTACCCCAGTAATACACTGCTTTGTACACATTGCTTGGCTGGAGGACTGCATTGCAAAATTCAGAGAAATGTAGATTTTGAAGGACGGCTGTGTTTCGGTTTGCGTATTGTTTCAGAAAGTGAAAATTAGGTAGGTTCACATTTAAGTGCCAACTGAATCAAGCTGCTACCTGCTAGCTCTGCCCCCTTCTGCCATCCCCTCCCCATGAGCTGAAACATAATATGTGATAAATTGACTAGTGTTAGAAACATATAATTGTAGACTTGGAAGGGACACCATGGGGTTATCTAGTTTAACTCCCTGCAATGCAGGAATATGCATTGGTATTATCAGCACCATGCTCTAACCAACCACCCCCATTGCTCAACCCAGAAACTGAGGTCCAGCTCTAAGGGCCTTCTGGCGGTTCCCTCACTGCAAGAAGCGAAGTTACAGAGAACCAGGCAGAGGGCCTTCTCGGTAGTGGTGCCTGCCCTGTGGAACACCATCCCATCAGATGTCAAGGAAATAAACAACTATCTGATGTTTAGAAGACATCTGAAGGCAGCCCTATTTAGGGAAGTTTCTAATGACTGATGTTTTAATGTATTGTTAATCTTCTGTTGGAAGCCGCCCAGAGTGGCTGGGGAAATCCAGCCAGATGGGCGGGGTAGAAATAAATTGTTGTTGTTGTTGTTACTATCTGAAATTGGGGCGGGGGCTCCTGTGCTTGTGGACTGAATATTTTAGAACCCTGGAAAAATCAGGGTTCTAAAACGTGGAGATACGACATGAACAGTGCAGCCCCCTCTACAAGTTCCCCCCCAACTTGTGCATGGGGAGAGGGACTGGTGGTTTCCTGCCTACTCTCCCTTCCCCTTGCATGTCCATTCACACCACTTACAAACTCTTGAACAGAGCCATTATATTATACTGCTTCCAGACTGTGGCATTTGAGAGTTGATGCCTGACCAAGCCAACCCAACAAGCGGTGCTCCAAAATCCACAGCGCTCATTTTCTTTTTGGAAAGTCAAATGTTCATAACCATTGCATTTCAACATTAAATAAGAGCTGCGGCTGTGATTGAAATCATCCACAGCACTCCTTCCAACTTATTCACTCACCCACTTTCACAGGGATGGGGCGAGATTTGGCTGAAAACGCTTCTTCGGACGCTGCTTTCCCATCAGGTCGGAATCCTCAACTTATTTACTGTGGAGGACCATGGCCCAACTGAGCTGAGCCAGCACAATTGTTGTCAGGTGTCTGGAATGGGATTTCCCAACATGCCTTATTTTTCTAAACTGTTGGCTTTGTTTGTAGCACCTCGCTCAGAGATTCTCTTTTGTGTGTGTCATGAAGTAAAACTTTCAGGAGGAGTTAATAGAAATCCTTACATTCCTATTCTCTGTGTAAATGGCCTAGTTTGTGTAAACACCCGCTGGCTTGAGATAAAGGGTCTCTTGCCCTTCTCCAGTTTGATGATCTGCATATACAGCTCCATTCAGGGCCTCTTGCTTCCCAGCTATCCGTGAGGCGTTTCATTCGAAAGGCAAATCCTTCTCTTTCTGTCTGTCCGTCTCTCTCTCTCTCCTAAAAGCCATCTCTTCACACAAACCCCTCCACTACCTCCCCAAACATATTCACAAACTCTTCTTCAAAAGGAAAAGCCTAGCTCAGGCCTGTTGACTTAGAGCTCAAACAGATTCGAGTCCGTGATGTCAGATTAAAGAAAGAAAAGGCAGGGAAGAAAGAAGAAATCAAAGCCTCTAAACGGCGCATAAAAGGCCGTGGCTGGCAACCAATCTGTTCGACTTCCAACCCTTTTAGACTTTATGAATAAAGGTCAATCTGGTATTGGCCACCAAATGTTAATGTTCTTATGAGGGTTTAAGCTGCTTTAACAGCTGAATAAGTGACAGTAAGCCACCAGGCCACACCTAATCTTGTAAAGATCGGGGCAGGGGAAGAAGCTCTTTCGGCAACAGGGAGGCCGAAGAGGCACTGCAAGAGCAAATCATTTACCAATTGTGTAAAGAACACTTCACGATAAATAGTTTCCTCTCACTCCTACCACCTTCCTTTTTATTATTCCATCTGTTCTGCCGGCTGCTGGGATCGACATGGTTTACAGCAACCAATCTCATGTTTGGGTTTTTTGCCCTCCTTTCCCCTCACATCCCACATCCTAGCAGTCCTTTTGTGAAGATCACCCTCTGTTTTCTAAAACTTGGGTGGAAAACAACTAAGGATGCTTTCCATCCACAAGACCACCACAGAAACGAGGATGTGTAAGGACGATTTTTGATGATTCTGACCTGATAATACCAAGTTAGGGCATTTTATTATTAACTTTATTGATTTAAATTACTTATAAACTGCCCATCGTTGGTCACATAACCCCAGAGACAATATTAAGACAATGAAACAACAGAACTTAAATCTAAAAATGGACAGAATGCTACCAACACAAATGCATCAGTCAAATGAGGCGACACCACTTTCGTTTAGATGGAGTGCTGCAAGGGATGGGGTATAAATTTGATTCAGTTCGCATTGAAAAGTGACCCCACCTAATTCTCGCTTTCCAAGATAATGCCTGAACTGAAATACGGCTACTCTTGGAAATTTGCACTTCTCTAAATTTTGCAATGTAGTCCTCTAGCCAAGTAATGTACACAACAGTATCTAATCCCTACAAATGCACATTTTAGGGGAAGCAACATAAAAATGTATTACATTAGGGAAAATTGCTTTGCAAAAAATTGTATTTCATGAGGACTTAAAAACAAATCTGCAAACTGATATGGAAATATGGAGAACTGACTTTTAAGTTTGAAAATAAAAACAAGAAAGAGAAACTGAGAGGAGCCATAATTGATAAATTCACTCACCCTCCCAATAGTCATATTTTTATCTGGCATCAAAAGTTCACCAGCATTGATGTCGCCTGAAAGCAGAGCGCATTCCAGAGGAATAACATGAAATTTTGCACATATTCGAAATTCAGCAAGATTTCCAAATCTGAAATTTAGAAAGGTTCACACTGTGGTTTTCAAGAATGATTTTGTGAGATACTTAAAAACAACAACCTGCCAACCTAAACATTAAGGCTGCTAATCCTAAACATATTTATCTGGGAATAAGTCTCAGTGAACTCAATAGGACTTACTGCGTATGAATGCAGAGGACTGAGCTGTAAATCTCACCAATACATTTCAAGGAAACAACATTAAGTATCAATTTGCAAGATTCATTATTCTGTTTTTTGCATTTCACTCCAAATGTTGACAGCAGGTTGAATAAATATACTTCTGTAACTATCTCTTTTTCAAATTCCCGATTACAGCAGCATACCAGAACCATTTACTCTTCCCAACTTTGCTCTTGCCTTCTACAATTGCCTCGAAACTGATTAATCAGCAAATGGTTTAAGTGCGTAGCTCATCAATTAGACCAATGGAATATTACGGCCCTAGTCATATTTAAATAATCTGATGTTGGAGTAATCCCAATGACATCAGCACACTGCTTAAAAGGAATGGAACTGTTACAAAAAATAAAATAAAATCTGCATTGTAGATAATATGCATAACATATGTGACCTTTCAGAAGCCTGTGCAAAATGAAAAGTGCCTGGGATGGTTTTGACTCTTCCTAGATTGTATCACTCCGTGAAGCCTGGGCATGGACAGAGGTTAACATCTGCCCCCCCATAAAAAAGTAGCAACAGTGTCAATACTTGGAATATGATTTCAAAAAGTCAGGGAACAGGCATTCTCCAGAAGTAATTCATGTCTGGCATTTACAAACAGTAACTTGATCTTTTCAGCGGAGGCCTTGCCAAGTCAAGCAGGGTTTTCTTAAAATTAATTTCCCCCCAAAAGGTGAATTTAGTGCTAATGAAACTGAAAGAGCAATCGAACTAACCAGAGGCTGGAGGCAGTGCATGGATTGACTTTGTGAGGACACTTGCCATTCTTTTGCTGACAAGAAAAGTCCCCTCTATTTTCTGAGCTTAGTTACTGTACATGATTGTGGACCACCAAAGGTAGGTATTTGGAGAGGGGGTGATAAAGAACTTTTGGAATTGCACAACAAATAATTTCAATGTGTATGTCAAATTGGCCATATTGTAACCTACTTCTGTCTCTCTCTCTCTCTCTCTCTCACACACACACACAATCTCAAGCAACATGTGTACTATAGATGGAGATTTTATTTTAGCTTCTCATTTTCCCACTTAAATCCAGTCCTCCACATGCCCACATCAGTTTGCATTAAATAATTTAAAAGGCCCTAATGAAAATTCATCAGCATCTAAGTGAATTTTTCTACAATTATACACATTTTTATATGCGGTTTTACCTAATGCACACAGTTTTGCAAAAGACATTCCTGAAATGAAATGCATTTTGGTATGCTATCATATGCATTTCTATGCACACTTTACCCCAGTAAATGCATTTGTGTACATGTTACCTAACTGGA